ATCATTTTGTGTTGCTTTATGGTCATTTTGTTTCTATTCATTGTTGTTCCATGTCCCTATAACTGACATTTTGTAGGTAAATACCAGTAAACACCAATAAAGCCGTTTCGGCAGAGATATGCCGTGTTTTTACGCCTGTGTGTGTTATTTTTCCTCAGCTGCTGTCCAAACCAAAGTTCAGCGGAGTGGAGAAGATAAAAACCATCGGCAGCACCTACATGGCTGCAACTGGCCTGAATGTGACTCCGGGACCAGAGTGCGCACAGGCATGATCTTACACACATTGTCACTCACACTGACATTGCATGTGATAGGACTCCTACTGTCAAGCTTTTATTTGAGTTCATATTTGGATAACAGAACAGAGAACAAGAGCCTTTTTGCGAAAACAGAGGGCCAAGTAGTTTTGGCAGCTTGATCTCATATTCAAAAATATTGTCATTTGTCATTTATGGCTACAAAACAGAATGAAGATTAAGCATCAAAATGTGTTTATTTGCTTTGTGTGGGTTGCCCTTAAAATGTGCTACACATAACATTTAAGCACCAGTGATTCATAACTGTGCTCATTTGAATACATGAGTGTTTTCACTGGAAGCAATCTAGATCAGCACTCACAGAGGTAGCAGCACATTTTTATTTTAAAACCAAATCTCTTTAATGCCTGTAGGGAATCTGCTAAATTGACCATTTGCTAAGATCCCTTGCCCCATTAGATGTTGCTTCACCTGTCAAGCCTCCCATTGTAGTACCGCACGTGAGGCAGATTTAACTCTAAATTCTTAGTCGTTTTTTGTAACTCTGGGAAGAATAATATTTAAAATGCCATACAGGGAAAACCTGGGTTGAACACATGGTCCAAACTTAATAAAATAGTCCAGTTTTATTTGAAGGTGGCATCAAGATAATGTTTTTTTTTAAAAAGCCAGTCGAAGAAAACTTGATTGAAGATGCGACGGGATGCAAAAGTTGAATTTCAAAGACGCAACCAATGATTATTCCACTGCATGATATTGGGGTGCTCATAATGATGCATTACCTCGTTTTCTCCCCCATGCATTTTTAGGAACATGACCGACAGAACATGCACATTGGCACCATGGTTGAGTTTGCCTTTGCTCTTGTGGGGAAGCTAGATGTCATCAACAAACACTCCTTCAACGACTTCAGACTCAGAATTGGTGAGGAAATTTCTTCATGGCGAATTATCGGCAGAAATGTCCCATTTGAATGCAAAAGTAATGCTTAGAATACTTAATTATTTAGGAGAATGATCCATTATATTTGTGATTTGGTATTTCTAGGTATAAACCACGGGCCAGTGATCGCAGGGGTCATCGGGGCCCAGAAACCTCAGTATGACATCTGGGGAAACAGTGTGAACGTGGCCAGTAGGATGGAGACCACGGGGGTTCTGGGAAAAATACAAGTGAGGGTCTCTCTTTCCACATTAAAGGTCTTCCAGTGTGATAGAGAACTTCCTATTCTAGTCATGTTTCCTTCTTCCTGTGCAGGTAACAGAGGAGACGAATCACATCTTATCCACACTCGGGTACATGTGTTCGTGTCGGGGCATCATTAACGTGAAGGGCAAAGGAGAGCTGAAGACCTTCTTTGTCCACACGGAGATGACCCGATCTCTTTCACAAGGGACTGTGATGCCTTGAGCGGGCAGAACAAAAACAATCATACGCAAAGTGGCCGTAGATATTTCATGCGCCGTAACTTAAACCCATTACCAGCAGCAGCCTACATTGGATACACGATTGTTGAGAAGCAGTTTTGTCTTTAGCAATAGCATCACAACGTAGAGGTGAAATGTCGCAGTCCTTCAACGCTGCACTCTGGATTTTTTTATAAACTCGAGTGTGACCAAGACGTTGCCCTGAGGAGTCTCTTCACTGACTAAAGGAGTGCCTGACTAAAAAGAGGTTTGCTCTCAAGGACTGCAGCCGCCTGTCTGTACAGTAGTAGTGGTGTGGAGCTAAGTGCCAGTGTTGCAGAGCTTCAGAGCCTTATACTTGAGCTGCCTGCAGAGCTGTGTGTTATTTTTATATATCTGCCTGTTTGGCACTGTGATCCGGTTTGTTCCATTTCATCCTAAATGGATGTTAAAACAGCTAATTGTCTTTTAGGGTGCGATGGATAGTTTGCCAAAACCTGTGAATTGTATTTATAGCTTTAGAGAAACGTTTTTTTTTTTTTTATAATCCACTTAGAACCAGACCAACAGCAATGTGTGTAATGTCCACTGACATCCTTTTGTTATTCATTAAACATTTGTATATAAATTGACGTCTGCTGTCTTTGTGGGTTTGTTTTAGTGCTTTAAAAACAAGTGCAGTTTGAAAGAAGCATCACATTAAAGTAACATTTGTTATCATCTTTGGTTTGAATGATTGGAGATAACACAGGTTTTCATTTGGCATACTTATTTATTGTAGAGACTTTTAAATGCAAAAAGACAGTTTAAGGGCAGGCTCAGTGATCAGAAGAAAAAATAGTACATGCATTATGAAAAGATCACAAAGAAGAGCTTAAATATGTGTGATGAAGTCAGAGATACAAGAAGTATTCGCTGTTTTTCCAACTTTTCCAGAGTCAGACACATATTACGACAGACATTATAACATATGTATTTGTTACAGTCTGAGTTATATTAAACAGAAATATTAAACTATCTTGGCTCCACTGTGTGTCTATGAGATCAAATATCACAGTCATAATCCCTTAAGTAAATGATCAAAACTAAGGAAGGTGAGTGGGGGCCTTTTTTCTAAGCTTGTCTGAAATCAGCTGATTTATTTCATTAGATAATAGAGTGCCACAGTGACACGTCCTAAAACCCGGTCCTTCGACAAAAAAGCAATGCAATTTCTCCATAGGATTTTGGAAAATAGCTCGAAATAAGATCACGTTTTGTTCAGCCGGATAATCTCTACATGTCTACCCTACTTTTATAATTTTCGAATCATAAATCTAATCGATAGATTTATGATCGATAGATATGACCTTATTTCGAGCTATTTTCCAAAATCCTATAGAGAAATTGCATTGCTTTTTTGTCGAGGGAAACGGAAGAAGGTTACTTCCGGGTTTTAGGATGCGTCACTGTGGCACTCTATTCAGAATGCATTAGTAATACTGACCCCTACTTTAACAGTAGCTACTATACTAGCATCTATTATATCAGACAATCATGTTATAGTACATGAACAAGAGTTTCTTTAATAGCATAGGATCTATTTTTAAAGCAATAGAAGCCATTTTGGGGGAAATACAATGGAAATCTATAGCAATGGAAAGATCATCTATTATTAAAGATGCTTATTTCTCCAAATGTCAATGTTTTCCTTTAAATTTAACATGATACTATATTAGTGTAAATGTAAATATCTCATTTATTAAAATACCCTCTCGTTTACAATTGCAAATAATCAATAACACTGTATTTTTTAGTATGAACACTATCATCAGATATGTTCTGTAAGTTAGAACAGTAATTATAATAAAGACTGTCCAACTGAAATGGACGGTGATGTAATGAGCTACTTTTACAGCAGACATCTCTCAGGATGAATCTCTAATGGAGGTGTGAAACCATTGTTTTAGAAAGTGTTTTGTCCACTTTATGCAACAACATTTCCAATTTACTCACCCCTTAAATAAACACTGCTGTTCTAACAAAGAAACAGATTCAAATACTGTGTCCTTTCTAAAAATACATGCTCTATTTCTACCAAAGTACAAAGGAAGAAGAATTTAAGATATGTCAATGTTAAAAAAAAAACATTATGTAAGAGGTTGGTCTTAGTTGCACAAGTTTAGTATTTATAAAAAGGAATCTTCCAAATCAAAGAGGTTATTGATGTGGATTAAGATGGGTTTTTACTAGGGCCGGGACTTTAACGCGTTAATTAAGATTAATTAATTACACAAAAATTAACGCGTTAAAAAAATTAACGCATTTTAATCGCACTTATTTTTGCACCGCGGAACGTTTCTCACTGGATGAGTTTCAGGCGTACCGATTATACTGGAGCACCAACTAACGTTCATGACTTCAGACAACAAAAAACCACAGTGAACAACAGTGGGAAATGTTGTTTTAAAAAACGGACGGATGGAAGCGTTGATAAGAGCACGGTTGTGTGCAAATTATGCAAAAAAGGAATTCGCATATCACCGCAGCACATCAAGCCTCAAGTATCACCTCAATGCAAAAACATATAGCAGCTAGCGTGGACGTTAGCCTCTTTTATCGCGTTCACACCAAAAAGAGCCGATACTAAAATTAGTTCATGAGAACCTTTTTACCCCCACGAAAGTCCCTGCTAGAGAGCAGAGAGCTGCTAGAGAGCAGGGACTTTCGTACGGCTCTCTTGTGAGAAAAGAGCTATATTTCTGATTGGCTGGGCGGATTGCAAACCACGCCCCGTAAAACTCCCAAAAAGTTTTGTGAAGCCGCCATTTTATTATCCTCGCATTAGCATTATTAGCATTAGCCCAGCGCAGAAACGCAGAGAGACTAACTTATGGCAACACCAAATAAAACATGGGAGCGGTGGAGATGAGGAGGTGTCGGCGTTCTGGCGATTTACTCGGAAGGCTGCTGGGAGTCCCAGCAGCTTCTACTGAAGCCAGTCCCCAACTCCGGGGACTTTGGGCGGCAGTATACGCCGTGAAGTGGTTTGCGGCCTGCCAGTAAACCCAAAGCAGAAGAAGAAGAAGTGACGTCAGCGGCTTCATTTGCCTAATCCACCCCCAGGTTCAAAGAGTTCTCATGAACTAAATTCTCATGAACCTTTGTGGGAAAAGTACTGCGGTGTGAATGCGCCTAATGGTATACTAAAATCCATGTGAAAAAAAATTGCTTCTCACTGTTCTTAGGTCAAATATGTATATGCGATTAAAAATGCGATTAATTTCGATTAATTAATTACAAAGCCTCTAATTAATTAGATTAATTTTTTTAATCGAGTCCCGGCCCTAGTTTTTACATAAAGAAAGGGTGACCAAATACTTTGTAACTTGTACATTTTATGTGGATAACTTTTGTCCCTCTGTAAGTAAAAAGAGAGAAATCCTGTCTGTAAAAATCCACAATATGCCTTTCATCCAGAACATTCAGTGTCTTATATATATAAAAGCCGTCATTATACTGAAGGCAGAAATCTGAACAGACTGATCTTTAATATGGTGCAATGTCGAGATGCAATAACTGGAAGACATTTTGGATGTGTGCCACCTTAAGCTTAAATAACACTGGTACTGATGGAGCAATCTTAGCTTCAAACAAGAACATAGCTTGAGCTTCCTAGGAAATGTCACTGTCTTAATATCTTCTCGTATTTTGACGGAAAATGTCAATTTAAATAACGATTTTTTTTGCTTATAACCATAATGAATGTATCAGAATGAAGTGTAACCTAATTAAAGTTTGCTCGATTCTAATTTTCATCAATTCAACTGAAATCTACAGGCTGCAACACTGTTTTATTATTTTCACTTTCATCTTATTTTATGATACTTTCAAATAGGGACCACTGATCCGTATGCCTGTGCCACATTCCAGGTGATCCCGTTTTTCATGAAAAATTCGGCTTTTGTGTAAGCGACACGAGAGTGCTGCCGGCCCGGTTGGTAGAGGGCGGGAACAGGGCGACGGCCATACTCTGCAGAGGAGCGCACCGGGACGATCCGCAACTTCTCCTGGAGACGATCAAGACAAAATATACAGAATAAATACTCAAAAATAAGTGAATTAAACTAATCTTGGCTTGACACTCCCCATCCATGTTAAATTAGAAAACAGACAATGGAATTAGGAAATGTATTGCATATAATAACCCAGTCTGACCCGGACACATTTTTGAACACTTAATCAGGGGTGTCCAAACTACGGCCTGGGGGCCAAATGCGGCACGCGGACCATTTTGAATCGGCCCTCAGCATTTTCAAAAAGTATAATGGAATATGGCCCACAAATTAAACTTGTGCTTTTTTTATATTGTATTTCTTAAATATATATGTAAAAATATATCACGTAGTAGTATTCATGTGTTAATAATAAACCCACTTTTCAAATAAATTCAGTCCATTAAAGTTGGAAACGTTTTCTAACAAATCTAAGTTGATAAGAAAAAAGCCCAATAACTTATTTACATAACAAGCTTGACGTATACACTTCCTGTTTCCCCTTATTACAATCAATCTGAGGCTTCTGTTTTAAGGAATGAGCTAAACACTTTTTGTAGCAAAGTAAATGGAGATCATAACTTACCTACATTTGATTGATTTTGCTAACTTATAATTTAACTTATAAGGCAATATACCTCACTTCTAGCGAGTGGCCCAGCCCTTCGTATATTTTTCTGTATCTGGCCTTCGCTGAAAAAAGTTTGGACACCCCTGACTTAGATCCTTTTAGTTTAGGGAGGTCCGGCTAACTCTTTTCAGAATAGACCGTACCTCCCTTCACTGCAGGGTTTTCTATTTCCATTAGTGACAGGATCAAATAATAACATGCTGCCATTATCCTCTGAATAGTTTGTACAAAAAATAGTTTTTAATTCACATTCAAATGTGAAGTCCTGAACAGAAACATCTACATTCAGAGGGAGCTGTCACCATCACTGCCAGAAAGCCTCTTGACTCACTGTAATTATAAACTCCACTGTGTGTGTGTGTGTGTTTGAGTTTGCATTTGAGCGTGTGTGCGTGCGCGTGTTATTTTGACACCCTCTCTGCTTTCAGGGACCCACAAACTCTCTGTGAGCCAGTTTACTGGACATAAATAATTCCTCTGTGGAGATGAAATGGCTTCAAAAGGAGCCATCAACAGATGTCATAAAACTTAGATGTATGTGTCACTTACCACACGGTTCATATGGAACATTTCTAAATATAGAAGCTGTATGTAAAATATCAGCTTCTGTTTTCAAGTATGTGTGTCTTTGCCCCACCATTTTAATATGAGAGACATTTAAGAATCATATAAATCATATAAACAAATATGTTTAGGGCTATATACATGTCCCTATGTTTGTTAGGTGTACATGAAATGTTATCAAAGAATAACCACTGATAACAGATGTTATTATGGTATGTAAAATCTGCATAAGTGAAATGAAATTCAGGAGTTCTGAACAACAGAAACAAAGAGACAATTTTCCCTAACTAGGACAAACAATGCTAATATTTTACTGAGTCCAGGCCAGACACTTGTTATAATCATAAGTTGGAGCTCATCAGCAAGCAGTTTAAAGTGTAATCATTACCTCCTCATTTATGTCCAGCCCTGTCCCTTTATGGTGTTTCCTGTCATCTCGGTGCAGCCTCATGTCGTAGCTCCCGGTCTGGTTGAACACTTGGTCGTACATGGAAACTTCCAGGACCTTTAAATACGAAGACATTGATCATTCAAAGCATGTTGTCAAACACTAGTGCGTCCTAAATGCTCATTTGGCTGAAGGAGAAAAGGGGTCAAATTAAAGCAATTATCCAAACAACCTCTTCAAATCAAGTTAAACAAAGAAAACAAATAAAATACAATGGTGTAACTGTAGTTTTCTGTTGTCAATCAGAGTGTTATGACATTGTTGGACAAAGGTTCATGATCTTTCCATCTCCTTCTAAAACTACTTTAACGTTTATCAACTAACTTGAATTGTTTCTGCAAATGTATTTCTAAATGAAGTGATCTCAATCGCCTTAATAGGTTATAATAAACTCTAGTGTTGTAGTGCCGAGAGATAGGAGTCGGAGGCGGTGCATCGAAGGTGCAAAAGGGAACTTTAATGAGGAGCAGAAAAGGACATGTTACTGGCTTGCAGTCCGAGTAGACAAGAGAAAGAAAGCCAGGAGGGCACACAATATATACAGGTAGCAACACATATGTCCGTAAGGAAACAATACCCCTACCCCACAGTTCCGTGGTGAATTATGTCAACCAGTAATCACTACACAAGCCCCCCCAGAATTCAACCATGGACACAATCCTCGCGTCCGGGAGGAAGCACCACAGGGGCCGAGGAGGGCGGGGCCGCAGGAGAGGGTAGGGGCCCAACAAGGTCGAGGGCATCCCCACCGGCGATACAACAACAACCCCACAGTTCCGTGGTGAATTATGTCAACCAGTGATCACTACAGTGTACTCTTTATCCTTGGAGCACAATTGTATCTGTAGTGCATTTGAGAAATATTATTACAGTTGCATGTATAAAATGGTTCTTCTTGTGTCTTTTAACATCACGTATGTTTGTTTATATGGAAAATAAGTGCAGGTGATGTTTTAAAAAAGAAAACATTTTAAATTAAACTAGTTAGCTTTAGCTTTAACAAACTACCCTGACATGTTCTGTCCAGATCACCCAATACTTTTCAAATATTATTAGATTATCTACTGTGTGTGGACAGTGTGGCCGATGGGAATACAATTCAAACATGTTTTCTGCTTGATATTGTCACAATATCGCGATGATTCGTTAGCTAGAGCTAGCTTGAATAGCAACAACAGTTCACATTCCACCACGTTACCTTGGAGTCTTGGTTATAAAACGACATTTCCTTTGGGTCCTTTCGTCGTGGTGGGATAAAACTGAAGGGAGACAAGAGGGCAAGTGGTTTGGTTTTTGCCTCGAGGGAAACGTCCATCTTTTCGGTTAAAAACAAACACTTATTATAGTTAGTAAAGCTAAAAAGATCAAGCTGAATCCCCCAGTTAATAGAGACTGGCGTCTGTGGTCGCTAGGATACTGGCATGCTGCCTTCATGGGCTCTTTGTTTGTTTGTACTTTAGAGATTCAAACTAAAAATTCCTTTTACAAATGTATTGGGAAAACACTTAGCTATGTTATTGTCACTTCATCAAGAATACAAGCATGTAAAATGTGTGATAAATGTTTAAATAAATGCAAGATAAAGGAAGTGTCTACATTTTAACAAACAACATTATAGAAAGATGTGTATTTGATATGAAGAGTGATTTCTGTGGAAAAGAAAAACTCAGATGTGTTCACTGTAGGCCTATATAAGAAAGTTATGGATCTATGCAGCTAAAATAAACTGAATATGAATATATTAGAATTCATGCTATATTTGTGTCAATATGAGATTAAGAAATACTGAATATCATAGAACTATTTATTACATTTTTGGGGGAAATTCCATATTTATAGAAAAAGTGGTCGGCCAACTTTCCTGTATTAATGAATTAATACATAAAAAAGGACATGTCACTTCTAATGTTTTAAGCAAAACAGCTATCGAGATCTTTCAGTTAGTAACCTTGGCATTATAAAATGTTTATGTATTTTTTGTCTTCTTTTTTATTGATATTGTCCATGTTTTAGTTACCTCTGTATGTGAACATCTCTTCAAATCTCTCTGCTATATAACATGTGCAATATTATTAATAATATGCTATGATAACGTGCAATTACGTAACTGCCACTACGTTTTATTTTTTGCACTACTAAATACTGCTAATAATTGCATTGATTGTGTGACCATCTATGTTTCATGTTTTCTGTAGATGTTTAATTGCTCTTTTTACTGCACTTTTAGTGTTGTGCTGCTGTGTTTATTGTATTTTTGTTACTCTGGCACAACAATTTCCTTTGGGATAAATAAAGTCTTATCTTAAATGTCCTTACATTGAAGCATGACACATTGAGATGTCCATTGTTATTAAATCAATGTGTGGGAATACTAGCCAACCAATGCTGCTTTTGTCCTCTAAATACATTTGTTGAATTATTTTTTTCCTTTCTCCACATTTTCATTATTTGAAATTACGAAAGGCACAATTTATGATATGACCTGATAATCGTTTCTAATGCACCCCTTTTCATGAGGCACAAGAAAGAAAAAAAAGCAGCGGAAAGAGGAAAGCCACTCCTGGGTTTATTAAGGTAGTTGTTACAGCTGCTATGCTTTTACCATCAATTATTGATAACGCTTCCATTATTTTCACTTGGCAACTTTGGGTGACCCTCATAAGATGATTGCTAAATTCCAATTATGAAACTGATTTATGAGATAATAACCTAACTGATGAGTAACTCATGTATCTATGTTAAGTATGTTATTGATTTGTATTGATATATCTTTAACTAAAGTTCAATAGGGAGTAGGTGATGCACAAGTGTACATACAGGTTGAACTTTTGAAAAACGGATCGAACTGTTGTAAAATTATACATATGTCTTCGATAAAGTAACAAAATATCTTCCATCATAAGGAAAATACCTATTAAATTGTCTGTTAGCTGATTGAGTTTTTACAAAATAGTCATCCCTGCACCATTGTCTTCTTTTATTCTAATAACACTTGTCAATTCAAGGTCCTTCAAAGGTCTCTCCCTGCATCTGCTGCAGAATCAATTTATAGCTCTGGAAAGACTTTGCCTCGAGCACAGTGTGGAATATGTGTTTCAGTTATAGGTGACAAGAAAGTCCAATTGCTGGGGCTTCAAATAGACTATAAATAATCTCACAGTCCCTCAGCACTATGTAGAGATGTATTATATAAATATTATATTTGGAACATTTATAAACGGAAAAGAGAATTATGAGTATGCTGATAAAACCAGTATATTTTTTATTCAACATTTTAAAAACAGTTTTGTTATTTTAATTTGTGGCACACAAAATAAGCATTATGTTAGTTTGAGACACACAAATGGACATAAACACACGTTAACCCGCCACTGAAACAGTGTTTTTTGCAATGAAAGTGTCCTGAAAAAGTGGGTATTGTCCTAATAATTGGTTTGGTAAACCTCTTGGCTGTTTCCCTTTTGGAGAATACAGACAATACATAGAGAAACACCTTATTTGTGTGGCATTAAAGCCTCTGCACACACACACACACACACACACCACACACACACACACCACACACACACACACACACCACACACACACACACACACACACACACACACACACACACACACACACACACACACACACGCACGCACACACACACACACCACACGCACGCACACACACACAGAACAAAGCCTTGAAATTCACTGAGAGCAGTGGTGCCCAGATGTTGGATAAAACTGCCAAAAAATCAGCAGCAGAGTTCAAGAGGTTTCCAACAACTGTGACGTAGAGGGGGGACATGTGGACTAAGAGGGGGGGGCATGATCACCACCTGCTTTCATTCATTTCAGAGGTTGTCTCTGAGCACAGGAGTAATTACTGCTGACATTTCAGGAGGCAATATTGCTATTTGGCAGCGACACAGTGGGAATGAATGCACCTGAAGGCAGCAGTCAGTCATTCAATGGCCCTGATTTATTAAAAGGAGGTACCAGTGTTGCTGAGACTTCTTCTCATAATGCATATTTTTCTCCCCTGATTCAGATGATGTTTTATTTATAGGGCAATTGAATTGCTTTAGTATATTATTAAAAGTACATTTTACTGGAAAGAAGTTCGTATCACAATGAAGCCTGAAACACATATTCAACTGGTAATGAGGATTCATTGGACAAAGATCAGTGATAATGAAGGTCATATCTATTATTAAGCAACAGAAACATTATTTTAACTAACCTGGACAACCATTTTAACTATCCCGGACAACCATTTATTTCTAATATGGGTTATTAAAGTTCAAGGTTAAAGGCCCTGAAAGCCGTTTTTTTCCTGAATCATCTGCTTCTTTCTTGTTGTTTTCTTGTACTTAAAACAGTGATGCTGTACATGCTATTTGATCAAAACTATTAAATGGAAGAGGAGAAGAGTTGATCACTTGTATCAGCCTCCCCCTGCTGGACATGACAAGTAATACATCAAGATTAACAAAATAAAACCTATTTTATGTGTATAAAAGACCGTAAACAGTCAAAGCAATCTATATATATTTTTATTACATATTTGTTCAGTTCTTATCAGCTTTTGGTTAATGCATCTATGAAGTATTGATAAGCAATGAAGCCAATGATAATGACAGAGGACACACATGTCCACACAAAGAGAGAACAGATAAAAAACAGTCCATCAGGTGTGCTAAACAATTATTTAAATAATTCATATAATATGCTCTGCAGTCCTCCACTGTGTTGAATGAATATGTTACAGGCAGCTACAGGTCCTTTTCTATGTTGAGTTCCCAGTTAAAACAAATGATAATGCTGTCTCATAAATAAATCACTCTAGTTAATGCTGCTACATTTCCACTTCAGTTGGTTTATATACAAAACTGAAAGTCATATGGAGCATTGTGCAGTGCAGTTTGTGTGGGGGAACTTTGATGCTTTCAGTACTCAGGAGGACTCTTCCAGAAACTATTTATTTGGCATTAGCTGAAGAGGCCCCAAATGTCACTTAGTACCAACCAACAAGCTGTGGATGATCACTGTGTAATAATCCGCAAGTAAGCAGCCGCATTATCCTGATTATGTTGGATCAGTAACACAGGCGTCAGAATAAATCCTGCTTTGACTAGACCGCAGACTTTCAATCAGTGCGGTGCAATCACTGGAAAACTGGACATCCCCTGCCCTGGCCCCTGACATGCACAAACTGTTAGAGTTTCTTCTTTGGTGACTAGACCCAAGGTGATAAGAAAAGGGCACTCTGTTCCTATTTCATGTGTTTGGATAAAAGTGTTGGTTAAATAAATGTAATGTAAGAAAAATGAACGATGGTCGTTGTTTATCTACAATAGTATCTTGTCCAAAACTGATCATCTGTAATATTTAATGAAGTGGGTCTGCTTTTTGTTTGAATTGTTTCTTTAAAAAACCCGATTGAAAGACAGTGAAGGATGGAACAATAAACAAGAAGTATGCTTTGTGTCAATACAATAAAAAAACAAAAGTTTCTTATTCTTATATTTTCTTCTCCAGCAGATGGCCTCAGTAACACACCTCGGCTCACAAAGAAAATAAAAATAATTCCTTCAAACCAAACAGCTGACTTTTTCTATTTCAATTGTTTGTATCCGGGAGCTTTCACCACTCTAGTCCTCCATTTACGCATGAGTAACATTCACCCACTTGCACAATCAACAGTTAATTAATCATAGTCTGTTAAACTTCCCTAAAAGTTGATATTTTCCCATCAGTGACAGTGAGGATTTGGCTTAAATAGACAATAAACCTGTCATTGAGATAAGTATCACTACTGACAGCCATGGTTTGTTCTAATAATCTAATCCATTTGTAGTTTCTCTCCTGGTTTTAATATGCCATGCTTCACTGTCAGTGGTGTAAACAAGTAAGGAACATTGACTTCTACTCCACTTCAATTCAAAGGTATTTTGATGCTAATGCTATTGTACTTTACTTGTAGTATTTCTACTCTCTGGTATTTTCTACTTTTACTTAAATACAATTTCTGAGTACTTCTTCCACCCCTGTTCACTGTAAATCGGCCACACGATGACTGCCGTCGGTCCTTGATGACCCACCGTCTGCACATTTCCGAAAGCTTACGGAGATTCACCGAGCAGCGACCCCTCCCTCCTCCTCCTCCTACTCCTCCTCCTCCTCCTCCTCCTCCCAGCTACAGCTACTCTCCCCTCGGCTTCACTCCGAGGAGGAACCCGGTGCCCCCCGGCTGATCGTTTCCAATTACGTTACCCCAAGATGGAGGTTTGCAGATGGCACTGCTAGCTACTACGAGTCTCTGTGTCTTTAATCAAGCTTTTCTCAGGACAGAAGTGATTTTGTGCCATCTTTCTGTCGTGTGTTTTGGGGGATCTACTTGGGAGACTCTGAGCTCCAGGTCCGGGTTGTGGCAACCATGAGCTCCGGGGAAGGAGCGGAGGAAACGACGAAGGACGCTGGAGAAATTGCGGCGTTCTTCAAGAACGGTAAGCCGAAAAAGGAGATGGATAGTCGGAGTAGTATTTACTGAGAAGCTGCTCCTCTTGGTGCACAAATTAGGGACATTGGGTGCTCGTACAGGGAAAAATAGGGATTAAAATGCCCAATTACTGTTGTGAATGAAGTGTACAACATATAGCAATGACTAACGTAGTCGTGGAAATCACTTAACATGTGTTTCTTGAATGCATTTATCTAACAGACGCTTCAGTATTTGATTCAGAGTGGTGTAGCCAGGGCAACGTTAGCTACATCGCTAATTTTCCAAGTTCCATCTTCGGACACCTCCCCTAGATTTGTCAAAGCTCTCCGTGTACTTTTCTTTAAAAATACATTATTCTGTGTTTTTATCTTTCCATGACACTCCTTAAGCTCGTTAACACCACTGACAGGTGTGAAAATTAGGTTGTAAAGTGTATTTTTGACCCAGTAAATGTAAGAAAAGAGGAAAACACAAGGACTGCAAACATATGATTTTCGTACAGCTAGACCCCATCACAATTGAATCCAAGCAACTTTTTCTAATTAAAATGAAAACGCAGATATAAATCCGTATATCTTATATATTATGTTTTATATATCCAGTGCATAACATGTAGACGTTGCCGAGAGGAAGGAAAATAAGCAGGTCAGAGCTGTCCGATAATGGACTTGAGTGTTCATAACTAGTTTCAATATTAGCTTCCAGTATTAGCATGTGAGCTAGTGATCCTGAATCAGATTCAGCGAATCCTGGCTGTCTGCTTTGGTTAGCCATGCTAGCTACTTTAGCATCGCTAGCCTGCCAGTGAGTTGACAAAGCTCTCGTGTATCTGAACAGCTTGAATGTGTATTCAATACAAAACATAATACAGTATTGGTGTATTTTAAATACACTATCCCAATGACTTATTGTTTGTCGTTTTCTGTGCTGTCAGAAAATAGCAGAACTGTGGAAGCAATGTAAACAATACATGGCGTGGCACATAGAGCCTGGGTGTGCACTGTGCAGGATAAGCTAGCTTTGCAACATAGCTATCAAGGCCAAAAAGGGCTGCCTATTATCAATAACACGGTCTGTTGGTTGTTATAACACCCGAGAATGTCAGTGACAGTGATTTACATATGAACTATTGCTTATAGACATTATTATATGTGGGAAACTTGCATGTTCATGTCGCTAACAATAGCTAAGTAGGCTAATTAATCAGCAAGGACTGTGACTTGAAGTCCCAACACGGGCCTACAGTGATTTTTAAAGGCTGCAACAATGGCCCTTAAACGGGTTTTAAATGAGAATTCAAGTGGTCCTAATAAAAATGAAGGGATCTGAGAAATATATAGATGTTTTATTCTACCCAGCAGACTTTGCATTATGAAACTGTTTAAGAATATTTTATTTTCTATTAATTTCCATGTCCATATCAGTGTAAGTGTTTTGTACAAAAATAACACAATGTTTGTAATTGGAGTTTCCTGAGATACAGTTGCATTAAATAGTGATCCATGGGTGAATGCCTGTCTGTGAGCTTATGGGCTGCACTTGGAAATGCCAGATAACCCTCCAGCTATTTTCAGTGTCAGCTAGCAGTGAATTAGATCCGGTGCCTGTTGTCATGTCTGCCAGTGTCATCATAAAACTCCCCTCTCTTTGGCAGCTTACTTTTTATATGCATTTAAAACAAGTTTATCCATGGATCAATAGCTGAAGCTTGTGTTTTATATGTGTAGTAGTAGTAGTAGTAGTGGGGAGTTTATTTCGCCAGGTGACATTTGCATAAGTGTGCGATACTCAAATATGAAACTGTGGCATAAGAGAGAAATTGAAAAACAGAAACTAGGAATGCATTCCCAAGCCAAAACCCTGGCAGTTGAAATGCACTGTCACATGTGGGACCTTTTGTGGTGGAAGTGAGATTTTGAAGCAGAGTTGGAGGGGAGTAAACAAGCAGGAGAATGCAGAGTATTGACATCCAGCCTCTGGCTCCTGTGGTTTTGTGTCTAGCGAGATAATAAGCCACAGAGGGAAGTTCAGTATCCGTATTGAGCTGATCCGATGGCTTCCTTTCATGGAGAGAGGCGAGAGGCATCATGTAACTCACTTGCATCCACACTTTGTATGTTTTGTTGATGGTGCACAGCTGCAGCCCTTCTGCCTCATTGTTAATCAAATCTGCTGCTAATTTGTAGCATAATAAAAAATGTTTAGATATGCCTCCTCTTATTACCACAATGCCATCTGCTGTAGATTCATATTGTAGTTTAGAAATAGCTTTTTATTTACTAATAGAGCACTTAAATTGACTTTTTTTGGTTTGTTTAACAGAAGAAGTGACACGAATAAATTGTTTTTGTCTGTCTTACATTTTTAGAGCAGCAGTGGGGATCCTTCTGAAATAATAAAAAATATATTGTTGATTAAATACAAAATAAATCTGTGTCTGTCTTGCATAAAAATACACTTTTATTATTCTGCTGCCGGTGTAATTAAAAATCACACAAATATTTAACAATTAGAATGATTAACATGTCAGGCCTGTCTGTACTTGAAGCATTCTCTGCCCATTACTCTCGCTACAGTAATGGACAGACCCGCACTTTGGACAAAGCAGGCCTTAACCAGACCTCTACTACATCTGATCTTAAACGAGATCTTAACTCAAACCTGACAGTTCATTGGAATCCATGTGTTTGTGTCCTTAAACCTACAAATGTCCCACTGGCACTCAGCTACAATCATAAACCATGTGTTGTCAAAATGCTATCATAAGCTGCTTGAGGACTTTAGGAGTATATGTTTTTTTTCTCCAAAAACAACAGACCTTGTTAAACAAACCCCTAAAGCTACACTTAGCAATGATTATGTGTCACTGAGCAGGTCCTTATGTTAAATATGACCCACGTTTTTTCAGGTGGTACGGCTGATTATTGTTAGCTGCGGCCTTAGTGTTGTTGTTCTCCCCGAGAGAACCTGGCACCATCAGTACTACTGTTATGTCACTGAGCGCAACACGAGAGTGATTGACAAGACCACCTACATTTGGAGATAATGATAACCGTGGACCGATATTTACTGTACACGGCAGACTGGATTTGGCCAAGAGGGATTAGATTTTTGTTTTAAAGTACATCATCTGTCTCCATACCATGTTAAATGGCTGTAGTAACACTTTCCTGCTCTGTGTCTTGTTGGTACTACACCCAATCTGTAGTTCTTTAAAGTTTTGTAAAACTAAACTGGCACTGAATGCATTCAAACCATTTTTGTATTCTTTCTTTGCAGTCACATAGTATTTATATTATTGTCTGCACAAGCAAAACATACAAAACCAGACAAGGGCTGTTTTCTATTCTGAGAAGCAGAGAATATACAGGAAGTGCAAAAAGCAGTTGCTGTACAGTTTTTCAACTCAAACACAGTTTTAAAGTAAGACATCCTTTCTGAAACTCTTTCAGATTCAGAGTTCAACCCAGTAGTGAAACCACCACAGGCCTGTGTATAGTCTACCAATGGCTTTTGTGCAATGAGCTCGTTGGAAGGCTTCAGTGTCACGTTCTGGCTCTCCCCGCCTCTTTGTTTTGCTCGTGAACTTCCTCCTTATAGATCTAAGAATCTTGTTTTGACATGCACAGGTTTGAGTGTCTTGCCACAGGCTATGCTTTTCCATTCCCAGCTCCACATCTCTTTTTTCCATCCTTTGGCATTCCTACTCTTCGTCTTTCCCATGTCCTCCCTCTTTGCTTTCTTCCCTTCTCTCTGTCCGACTGCCTGCTGTCCTAGTGTTCGTTCGCCAATGTCTGCTCCATGTTTTCTCCCTCCCTTATTCTTGTCGGGCCACAGTCCTAATGCATAATGACAACTTATTAAAAAAAATGCGCTTCCCCTCATCTCTCTCCCCTGCCTTCCAGACTGGAATTAATACCCCGGCCTCAGAGCTCTGAGACGGGGAGTTTTGTTGTGGCATGTTGTCAATCATCAAGTTATTATCTACGCTAAACATATCTTTGGCTACACTGGTGACTAAGAGGCTGATGGAGTGTTGATTTCATAAAGTTATTACTTGTTGATAGTGTGGTATTCACAGTGGGAAAAAAAGGCACTTCATGAATGAAGAGGTTGGGTTGTATGTTTGAATGAGCATTGCAGTGTACGTGTGTTAGTGCAAGAAAGGGGGGAGAGAAATCTGATCCAGGGCTTGCATTTATGACTCAGGCCCATTCACCCAGGATGAGGTCTGCACACACTTACACACACATGCACTCTACACACTAATGGATATTGATCCAGGAGATGGAGACTGATTGGGCTCCCTCAGTAAAGGTTTCCTCCAGGCTTAAAGCTGCCAAGTCAGACACACAGCAGAGGCTAAAGCCCTAATGCTGTACAGAGCAGATTCTCTTTATCGTCCTGTGTTTATGGGATGGAACTAAGCATAGGATTAGTGCATCACAGATCAATGCAAACGACTGATTGAAGGGTGGGCTTGTTGTCACTTTGTTTCCCTTCCGGAAACGAGATGTTTTACCTAAGTACTTGACAGGTTGCTCTGAACCTGTGATCAGAGAGAAACTGATAACTCAAGATCATATTGCTTGGGAGAGACTGATTTTAAATTGGACATTTTCCATGCTTGTACTTTTTTTTGGGAGGGTTCGAGATTGTCTTACATGTTATGTTAAAAAAACACAATTTGTTTGTAATACTCTCTTTCCTGGATACACCTTTATCCACCCAATATCTATAACATAATTTTGTTAAAAAATGTGTGTTTTCTGATCGAGGGCCTCCCACAAAAACCTGACTTTATTTACTTTCCGTCTTTTAAGCCCCTAGTAAGAGCCACACCCCCAAAACACTGGATACAACATTTCCCACAGTTCTACTTGATAGCCCCTGATGGCATAATCATTTTATTCTATTCTGACATTGGAAAGCTCCCTTCAGATGCACTAAAGACAACTGTTTTGTTTTCATAGGCTGATTAGGCATCTTCATTCCAAGTTAACT